ATACCAGGGGAACTTTAATAATTTTTATTGCAAATCGTTCTACCAAATTGAATTCATTGTAGTCTTTACACTTGTGGCAAACGAAAGGACTAATTTCAAACTCACCCAAACCTCGGGATCGTTCGAGTCTGACTATTTTTTGTACGTTATGAAAAGTAGGGAAGATCGGCAGACGACGGACGCTTTCAGCCATATACGGCAACAGCAGTGTCCGATGCTGGCGTTCGACGTTCAGCCGCATTCTTCTTATTTAATTTTTCGGCATTTAATGTTACCATTAATTTTAACCTAGATGGTTGAAAACTTGAATTGGGTATCGGATAAAGAAAAGAAGTTGTATTAATAGTCCAAGCTTGAAGGGCAGTTGAATATTAATTTATCTGAGTTCAGCGATAGGAATTTGTTATTACAGTAATGTAACTCAATGATTACCGTAGAAAATTTTAAAACTTTCAATATTAAATCATTCATATCTAGAGCACCTGATATCATATTTAAGAATAACACTACCCAATTGGTATGTTGCTAGCCACAAAACAAAAACAACATGGTAGTGTCTCATACTTAAATGCGGAAGGGACTGATTTAATTCCCGGCACAGCCACTCACAACCACAAAAAAGTTGCACAAAAACTTTATTGACCCCTTGTAAAATGTCACTGGCGTAGAAAAAAATTAGAACATTGAGAACCAATTCTTCAGGTGGTAGCAGTGACGGGCCTCCGACGGCATCGTTAGTTGTGTAGTGTACTTTGTGTAGGTTAACTGTTGCTTGCTGGGCAGGTATAATGCAGTCGTGTTGGGTGCTAGTTCTTAAACACTAAGATAAAATAAGTTCTCTGGTTCAAAATCATGGTCTGATTTTGGACAATTTTTGTTTAGAGTGCACACTGGCACCAGTTGAAAGGGTGTTTTTGTAAATCAAACATGCTTGAATGTGTTGTAATGTTGCGGTATTCCTTTGATATTAAAACCACAAGTCTCAATAATAAAAAATAAAAAAAACTTGACATTATACGAGTATACAAGTTTATTTTTTAACATTTTTTTGACCATTAAAAAATAAACTGGGAAGCTTGAACACATTAATTTAGGTCCTCAAAATAGCTTAAAAACTACTAATTTTAGCACATTATTTCCAAATTTTTCCCGGGGGGGGGCCCCGGACCCCCCCTCTTTGCTGGGGGGTATTCCATGCCCCCCAGGCCCCCCCCAAAATATCTGTCTAGGACCGCCCTTGCCTTCATATATGGAAGTGAATAACAACGCCTTGTACGGCCTGAAGATGGTTCCCTGTGAACCGAAACTATAGTTGCCACAAGTAGCATATTGGATTACTGAATGCAGGTATTTAAACCATTATAAATAGTCAAACGTAATCCGGAGGCTAACAACTCTTAAAAATGAAATAACAATTAGTTTGAATGAGTATAAATACCCCCACCGCAGCAAACCTGCAGACTAAGCGAATTTCCATTTGCCTGATTTGATTTTCAATTAAATCTATTCAAATAACATTAGGTTGAACGAGAAGGCCTACCTAGGTTTGCTGCCTACAGGGTAATAAAGTGTGTTTTTTAGTAAAATATTAATAGCTTAGTATAAAATAAATAGATTGGCCAAGTTTGATCCAAATATGCATAAACAAGCAAACTACAACAGTTTACTTATTCTCCGTAAGAATAACATGGGAATTTTTAATTTATAATTTTCTCCGTAACCAATAACCATACAAAAACACTTCAATATACTGAATTATTAATTTTTTTAGCTCTTTAAAATGGGCTAGAAGAAATTTTTGAAATTTTATGTCTTGAGGGTCAAAAATGAGAAAACCCAATTTTTATCCCATAAATCCCCGTTCCCATGGTCCGATCATGCTGGTTCGCAAACTCGTTCGAATAAACGTAGTTTTACACGTTTGTACCAAATTTCATCAAAATCGGAACATTTTTGCTCGAGTTATAGTGCTAACGGACACACACACACACACACACACATTACTTCGAAAACCACTTTTTTGGGTCCAGGGGGACCCAAAACGAATATATCCACTCAAAACTCAAACTCGAAAATTTTGACGAAAAGAATACTTTCTCCTTATACTATGGTATAGGGGGAGAAAGTAAAAAACAGTATAATGAATCATAATACAAGTGTGACAAATGTCAAATTACAGTATTGTAAAGCCTTCAAACGGCAGAACACATATTATTGAGCGGAGCGAGCGAAGCGAGCGAAGCTCTTTGGGATCAACTTCAATGCAAACAATATAACACCATCACTCAATAACGGCTGAACACATTTCAGCCAAACTTACCAAGACTACTTAGACTAATAATGAGATGGTTTGTAAACAAACAAATTTCAATTAGATAATGCTAATGCAATTTAAAACGAACTTAAAATTTAAAATTTTTAACATTGGGCTTATGGGACTAAAGTAGCTATGACAGTTTTTTTGTTTACAAGAAAAATGTAAACAAGAGAATCATAAGGTATTTCTGAACTTTCTATACTTTTCTTTTAAACGATTTTAAACCATTCCTATGATTTTAATAAACAAGAAAATGCCGTTAAAACATTTTTTTAAGGCACGGAATTCACTGAAAATCGAGAAAATATACTGAACTACTTTCTCAATGCGCGGAGCATAAACAAGGAGCGGAGGGATACGGACCGGTGACTACTTTCTTGGGAACCTATTTGTGTTGCCAGCTGATTAGAAACAGCCAATGTTAGAAATCAGGATTTAATAAGCGATATATCGAACCGCATCGAAATCGGTATTTAATCCGATAATACCTCATAGGTTATATTATGTTTAATTACATCGACGGTACAGTAAGTTATTACACTTATTGATAAAACGCAGATTGAACACTGATTTAGGCATGTGGGGAGGTAGGTCGGGGTTTATGAGTATTCGTGACTACATTAAGTGTTTTGAAGTAAGGTTAGATTAGGAAGGTATAGTGTAGGTTATAGGTTGGCAATCGGGTTGTTTAATTGTGTTGCACCATATAATTTTTTAACTTTTGGAATGGAATAGTTGGTTAAGGTTAAACGGGGAAACGATTTCAAAAATGCTTGCATATGGTCTTAACTTAACAAACCATCTACAGTATTCTAGCTTTGACTTTATATAAAGTCAATGATTCTAGCAAATTATTACATACTGACCAAAAGAAAAGAGAACATTTGGATTTGTACCTTTGACCATAGCAAAACTAACATATAATTATGGAATGTGAAAAGTTGTATATCATTATATACTATTCTGTAATATTAATAATTGTTCGGCAAATCCTCATTTTAATGGCTCGGCTGAAAATGGAATCTGCATTTTGTGAAACAGTAATTTGGTAACAATTCAGTTATTTCAAATGTTGATAACAGTAGCCCATCCTATACAAATACTGTTATTTGATTGCCAAGCCACGGACTATACATACGTCCAGTTACAACCGTTGATAAGTAAACCTGGGCTTATAGAAGTACACTTTTAACCACGGTATGGATAATTGTCTAGGCCTGTCCAGAAGTAGGCTACTAATTTCTAATTATATTATCTACATTGTATATTTAAGGCATGTCTTCCCTACTTATTATATTATTCTGTTTTCACTTAAATCAGCTGAATGCGATGTTTACTTATTACTTATGTTTAGGCATACATTTCAGCCATTTTATGTTGCACGGTTGAATTTAAATGTCAAATTTCCCCTCCTGTTGTTATACTTTAATACTCGTTTTTTTATAGTTACTGTTTTTTTTATACTTAAATACTTAAACCGATTGTAAGGGTGAAAAATGTAGCCCAATGTTTTTTTGTTGTAGGCTACAGTTGCATTTGAATGTTAAATTACCTTTCTCATTTTTATACTTTACTTTTTGGATGTTAATATCAGATTCCAACTACTGTAATATTTTCCTGGTCAAAACTACCATAATGCACTTCTCGAAGAGGTAAATTTGAGTTATTATAATTTTAATCTTTAAAACCAGCATTAGTAAATAAATCTATTGACCTTTTTACATTTAGTTACTTATACAAATATCAAATCACGTTTGTTCCGCTCAACTGGCTTTCACCTCTCTGAAAGCAACCCTAGTATACATACACAAGATAGTTGAGATAGCATTGACAAATTTGAAGGAGACTGGAAGCGACGTGAATAGAAGTCGTTCGGAGTTTAAAAAAGAACGACTCTCATTATATATGCATCCGGACCATAGACTAACCAACACAAGTAGACTTCTCATCCCATTGTAAATTTTGAAGCACGTTTTTCGTGTCTAGTTCATGTACGTGACACAAAGGCGCTAGTGTCGATGAAACTTTGTTTCCATTATTTTAGGGTTAATTTCTTGATTTGTGCTTTACTGTTTGGTTATATAACTAGGGGACAAGTTATTGTTTATGATTAGATTTTATTATTTGGTTGAACGAGGTTTTAAATGGCTGTAATAACGGGAAACAAATTGTAAACAAAACACGACCTCTACATAAACCGTACATGAACTAACAATAAAATTGTCTTCAGCTGTTCCATAAGGATGAGAAATCTACTAAGGGAGTATGTTTTATCTATGATCCGGACTCAACCGAGCTGTTCAGCAAGAACTGTTCACCTTCAATTTGAATCTCCCGCTCTTTGTCGATCTATTTTGCTTGTCGACATTCCTGTGTCGATAAAGACAAATTTACACTACTGTCCCATATTGTCGACATCCCATATTACCGACACTGTCGATATTTTGAGTTGTCGACAATATGGGACTATTTCAGTGTCGATCTTTTGGGATGTCGATAATCTGGGACCCCACGGTTGCGGTAATGGTGTTCCCTCAAGATATCTGACAGCTGACGTCATCGAAGGCTCTTCTGTTTCTGTACCTACCTTGAGTAAATAAAAATATCCACTACTTTTCTTTCTGCTTTGACGTATGCCAAGCCAATCTGTCAACAAACAAAAAAGCAACAAAACAAACCGCGCATCCAAGCCTAGCTACAGGGGTTTTTCGGTTGTAATTTATTAATATTCTTTAATAATAATGTGAGTTTTGTAATTAATATAGTTTCGGTTTTTATTCCAACCAAAGTTGTGCTTTAAATTGAAGAAAATTAAATTAAACCATTGTTTAGTATGTAGTAGTGAAAATAGGCCTATCTTCTGCCTATGCTGTAAGAATTGTTCTGTAAGCAATATGCAGGCTAAATGCTGTAGCTGCACCTAACCTTACTTTTCACTTGGCAATTGGCAGCAAAAGAACTGGATAAGTTGGGCCTGTCTGTCCAATTTTAGAGTTTAGACTTATAAAAATCAGCAAATATTGCACATAAGCATGAAAAATGCAGTTGCGAGCAATAGGCCTAGCTGTGAAGACAATTGGGTCAGGAGATTTAGTGTATCTGATCCATTCAAACACAATAAAGGGTTTACCCTGTATAAAATAACATCATTGGTAAGTATTGAACCACTGGATTAATTTTATCCATGTTCGGGGTACAGGTTCTTAACTGGGCTAAGCTAATATCGTTTCGTTTATCCTGACTAGGCCCTAAAGAAACATAAAGTCTTAAGGCAGGTTTTTCTAGCTGCGATATTCTGCTGTTGGTAAAAAAGCTTGAGTCCCACATCAACTACATAAATTGTGATTCCTGAAAGTATAAAATAGTTTAGACATACATATTTGAGTATTAGTGGAGAATAATCCACAGAAAAGAAGCTGCCAAATATAGTTGTAATTTTCTGCACCATCTCCCAAGAGTCAGGTATTGCTGTTCAGTTGCTGTCAGGAGCTGCCGAATCCAGCAGGGGCTGCGCCCTAAAAAAACTGCCACTTAAATAGTCGTACCAACATTCACAATTCAGCTGTATGTATTCAGCAGTTAGGAAAACCTGCCATTAGTCTGAAACAAAGCTACCTACATAAGTTAAGACACTTCTACAGTTCTGTAGGGTGGGGAAAGTTTTCTCAATTGTAAGACCAAAAAGGGGTAAAAATATCAAAAATTAATAGTTATTAGCCTATCTGGTTGTGCATAGGCTCTAAAGTTTGAACAAAAGTTGAAAAAATCTTTTTATCGGCAATTTTATAGTTTTTAAATATATATACAGTATATACTTACCATTTTTTATTTGTAGACACTAAGGAATTAATAAACAGAGGTTTTACCATTTTAAGCACATTGCCTTCGAGGGATTGCCTTACCATAATGAGGTTGATTTCCTCATTGAAGGAATCCTTCGTCCTTTCGTAACCCGAAAAGAAAATAGGCCAATCCTCGGTGTTAAGTCCCAATTATTATTCCCCTTCAATGGTATATAATCAACCCCTCAACCCCAATACACATTTTGGTTCTTTGGTATTATACGGAGGCCACCTTTATATAGCACGCTGCAGCGGTTATGTAGGATGGGTTGTCATAAATATGTGTGTAGGACTTTCCTCATTTCCTTATGAATCAAACGATACCAGATGAGTCATACTTTCCCCCACCTAACCAACAATACAAGTAGGCCAAGGTCAGGTCGTTGATCGGAGCGTGCGCATCACCTGTCACCGCCTGCATCTCTGGTATCGTTAGATTCATAATGAAACGAGGAAAGTCCTACAAACATACAGGGTGATTTGTACTCAGTGTGACAAAATTTTTTTGATGTAAGTACAAAGTAAATGAAGTGTGGTCATGCATATCAAATGTTCCAAGTCTCAAAATTAGCGTCCCAAGGAATTATTTTATGTTTTTCAAAAATAACCATGCTTTTAAACTTAATACAGCAATTTCTCAATTTCCTGTATATGGATTTGAGTAGATAATGTCATTTTCGTGTTCTACATTAAATTTTGAACAAGAATAATGGAAAATGACGGAGGATCAGTTGTAAAAACTCCATTGTAAATAGATTCAAAGATAAAAATTAAGATATTTGATAAAAATTTTAAAAACAATGTTCTATTGTATTTTTTACACCCTGTATACAAGAAAGTGTCGGAATGTGTTAAAAACTGCACCATTTTATAAGCTTTCCAACCATATGCTACACTATTGAGGTTTAGATATTTTTTTGTTTGTTTTAGTGGTTTGAATACCAGAAAACAGGGAACTTTTTACTGTTTTTACTGTTCAAGCTGAATCAAAAATACAACTTTTGCTTAAAATATGCCGACTTTCTATGTTTTAAATGTTAAAGACGCCATGTTTTGTAGTCTTCAAACCATTAAAGCGTACATAAGCAGACATAAACCTTAATAGTGTAGCATATCGTTGGAAAGCTTATAAAATGGTGCAGTTTTTAACATATTCCGACACTTTCTTGTTTACAGGGTGTGAAAAATGCAATAGACTATTGTTTTTACAATTTTTATTAAACATCTTAATTTTTATCTTTGACTCTATTTACAATGGAGTTTTTACAACTGATCCTCCTTCATTTTCTATTCTTGTTCAAAATTTAATGTAGAACACGAAAATTACATTATCCACTCAAATCCATATACAGGTAATTGAGAAATCGCTGTATTAAGTTTAAAAACATGGTTATTTTTGAAAAACATAAAGTAATTTTTTGGGAAGCTAATTTTTAGACTTGGAACATTTGATATGCATCATCACACTTCATTTACTTTGTACTTACACCAAAAAAATTTTGTCACACTGAGTACAAATCACCCTGTATATATGATAACCAAACCTAACATAACCTGCTATACAAAATATGAGCTTTAATAATGTTGACCCATGTTTTTTGGATGAATTGTTATGATGTTATTACAAATTAATTTTGTTGTAGCATTTTCCTTTGATTGAGTATACTTTTCTTTTGTGAGTAGGTAATTACCGTAAATGATTTTCTGCTCAGTATCGAGTCTTTTTATCTCCATTTTTGACTTTTGACAACTTACATGATATGGCTTTCAATTCAACGTAAATACAAGCCCATAGTAGGTACAGTAGAGAGTCGAAAATCTGAAACGTCAAAAATCTGAACGTCAAAAATCTGAAACGTCAAAAATCTGAAACGTCAAAAATCTGAAACGTAAAAAATCCAAACCGCTCCTGAGATTTTTAAAATATTGAATTAGCACAGAGACAACAGATGTTTTACAGTTTCGCTGGGAGCCAGTCTGTGTTTTATTCGTTTCCAATGTATAAGCTCTACATATTTTTTTCAAGAAACGAATTACAGTTATATAACGAAAATACCTAAGTACAAAAATCATTATTTTTATTTCATTCACTGTATCCTAGAACTGTATTTTTAAAACTGTAGCCTATGCCTAATCACGCGTCTATTAGGCATTTCTAGGCTAGGTTTGAAAATCCGAACAAATCGGTAATCTGATCTACCTAGGGTCCCAATTGGTTCGGATTTTTGACTCTCTACTGTAGGTACAAAATAATAGTGTTTATAAATTAACTTTTTTCTGCCTTTGCCTGCACTCTTTAACTTCTATGATGGTTGATCATAGACAAAACATCACATCTAATACCAACAGACAACATTATTTTTGCTATCTACATATACACACAAAGTGCCAATTACGTCACTATAATTGTAAGTTGTAGCGCTAGTTCCCCAGCTCCGTCTGACAGGACTTCTTGCTTGCTGGAGAATCAGCAACTAGAGCTGCTGGATCTCGCAGCGAGAACTAGCTGCTGAAACAAGCCTCGTGTGACGGGGGCATAAACGTATGCACAATCTGCTGTTAAAGTTTCATACGTACTACAGCTGTGCTGTTCACTAGTAACATGTAAATAAATACCATGCAACAGCACATAGGCGAACCCGTTATAACTTAATAGTAGACAAAGGTAAATTTGCTTATGAGGAATAAGCTGCAAGTAGTTACACCGATAGTGCCGCGCTGAGGTGATGCGCAACCGGAAGAACAATTCTGACTTCGTCCATTGTTTTTGTTACCGTATACTATCTGAAAGTGATTAAGCAGATTTTAGGTATTACATTTTGATATCAATAATTAAATTTGAAATAAGACTAGTACAATACGACAATTTTCTTGCTTTTTGGCAATATTTGCAGCCGATGCGCGACTGAAAGATCTTAACGTAACAATACCATTGTTTAAATATCAATTACTTATTGTCTTGTAAATTAAATTGATGACCGGTAGATAAAACCAATATTTTTACCCCATTTTGATCTTACAATTTAGCAAATTTTCCGAGGTAGGCTATTATGACTTGAAAAAAAATATTACTAACCCACCCCATTTTACACACAACCTTCACTGATATTCAGGTTTAAATTCACAGCATTGTGTTGATGTCATGAACAAATGTTATACCTACGGCAAAGAATGCATGTATTTTAATTTTTTATGATTTACAGGTGTACCCAAAAAAGTATCCTGAAGCAATCACTACAATTACCATATGGAAAAGATATAATGATTTTAAAAAGTTGCACAAAGAATTGAAAGCTCGCCATAAAAAACTTAACATCTCCGATGAATTTCCCTCATTTGTAAAGGCAAAATTTTTTAGTCGGTAAGATATTTTAACTTTTACTATTCACTCATTAAATATACACAAATCGACGTGTTTAATCATTTTTATTATATACATTTGGTAGGCAAGTACCCTGCACACTTAAACTCAGCCTAAATTAAATGTAAGTAATATTTCTCATGGTATTTAGAGGAAGAATGTTTCCATGCTGATTATAGTTTTATAATATTATTTTTTTGTTAATTGGGCCTCTCTCTGTACCTAAACTCAATAATTTTACGATGACTAAGCCATGGATATTTATTTAATTGATTTAGGCCTAAACGCTAAATCTAATAAAGCTTTAACTTTTAATTTAACTTTGAAAATATAGTTAAAAGTTGGGTTATTTTCACCAACATGGCTAAAAAGTTGATTATTAGTTAGCAGTTTACAGTTTACAACTCCTAAACGACACCTGCTACAGAAAAATGCACCTGCAAATAGTTTGAAGAACATAAAACTTTGCGTAGAATGCTTTTAAATTCATCAAGATTGGTTCAGCATCTTAACGGCAGTCGATTATTACAGTCAGGGCAATTTTACCAACTTGGCCAACAACGTTGATTCTGCCCTTTAAATGGATTATGAATGATTTTATAGTGATTCCATGGTAATCATCGAGAGGTTCATCCAAGAAGGGGTGAAGAGAGCATGCCCCTATGTAACTTTAAGTCTAATAATATTGTTGTCTGGGGTTCAACAAATTTGAAGATTCATCCTAACTTTCCTTTTAGTCAATCCAACTCTGGATTCTTTGCTCAGTTTTCAGCATATTCACACTATAAACTCCAGAGATACGGTGGGATCAAAACTAAATTCAGCTAATGGTTCCAGTGTTATGACCCATTTACTGTACTGAAAAGTGTTCCCTCATGTCAATCATCTCAGGAGTTGATGATAGCATCAACTGCTACAAAGCATATGAAAAAGGCACGGCTTGCATGACAACCGTTGACAGGCAAACCTTTAATGACCATAAAATGTGCAGAATGAAACAAAGTGGTGACCTTACGAGCTCGAGCTGTGAAGGCACCAGCAATGATCAAAGGAGAATCTGCCCCCATCAGTCAGCACTTGATTTTCCAGATGAAATCCAAGCCTCAGTTTGAATCCTACTTTGGGTTAAAATAGCTCCAACAATATTAGACTTAAAATTACATAGGGGCATGCTCTCTTCACCCCTTCTTGGATAAACCTAGCTGGATGATAACCATGGAATAAACCACTATCAACAAACTCATAAATCATTTAAAGCGCAGAATCAACGTTTTTGACCAAGTTGGTAAAATTGCCCTGACTTAAGCAAATTGACTGCCGTTAAGTGGCTGAGCCAATGTTAAAGAATTTAAAAGCACTCTACGCAAATGTGTATGATCTTCAAACTATTTGCAGGTACATTTTTCTGTAGCAGGTGTCGTTTAGGAGTTGTAAGCCGTAAACTGAACTAATAAATAATCAACTTTTTAACCATGTTGGTAGTAGTTCAATAGCCCAACTTTGAAAAGCTACAGCGGCTAAATGGCTTAGCCGATTTTGACCCATTTGGCACCAATAGATACATAATTTAATTCACTCAAAGAAACAACTGAACAACAATTTCAGTAGGGTCCGTCAATTAAGAGTTTTAAGCAAAAAACTGAAAAAATTGCAAGATTTTCATATTTTTTCGACCCCTAAAATTAGCAGACGTCAGAATCCATCGCAAACTCACAGCACTCTTATTGGGACCACCAAAAGGTATTAAAACACTTTCCAGCTTTAGACGATTTTTCGGGGAGCATACGTCTAATTTGCCTGGGCCTATTGTCAAAATTTTGAATTTCCCTTGCACCAGATAGTATCATCTGTTTAATCATTTAGGGCTACCTCACACAGTTGTATTTCGGTATTTCTATGCTTATTTCGCTGATAAAAATACAGGTATTAAATAGCAATTCCAACTAAACAGTACCATTGTCAAACCAAGACTGAACAAGAAAAATAGTGTGAGAACTGCAGGTTTGGGGAGCAACTTGTTGCCTAGTATGGCTGGTGCCGTAAGATACATGGAGGGCATATTTGTCCCTGTGGAAGTGTGTTGGAGCCCTAAGGAAGTTAAAAACAAAAATAGGGCTATGTCCATTTCTGGTAGTTTTATTCCTCCAAATTTCAGCTCAATTGGTCCAGTAGTTTTCACATGTTTGACCATCAGATAAACATCATACTTGTTTCATTTATGTATTTATTTTTATATCCTATACTCTAATACGAGCAATGTTTGCTTGTATGTATGCTTGCTTGCTTGCTTGCTTGCTTGCAGAAAGATCTCGAAAACGGCTCCGACGATTTTCTTCAAATCTTGTAAATAGTTTATTTTTGGCCTAAAAACAAGTTTCATGCAGTTAGAACTGCCAACAAAAATCTAATTACGTAGAAAAACGAAACTGAAAGTCACATTTTTTTAACATTAGTCTTATGGGTTGCTAAGTAACCATGTTGGTTGAATTAAATAACAAGGAAAAAGTAAACAAAAGACTTGAAGTTGTAGCACGTGTTCATAATAAACCAACTACCCACAGTAAACTAGCAAATTACAAATACAGTACAAAAGGAAAAACATCACTTGTTAATATTGAGCAAAGATTATACTTAAGATTACTCGAGACATTGTAGTCAAGGGTAGCAGTGCGAAGTCTAGGATCTGTTTATGACGAATACATTAAGGTATCTGCAATCCTAAAATGCTATGGGAAGGGAAGGAAACAGGTCCGTGACGTAGGAAGTAGTGAAGGAAGTAGAAAAGGCAATCATAAAATGCTATGGGAATAGAGGGAAACAGGTCCGTGACATAGGAAGTGATGAAGGAAGTAGTAAATGCGAGCAGTCCGGAGTGTAGGGACTGTTTATGACGATAAGATTAGGGTATCTGCAATCCTAAAATGCTATGGGAAGGGAGGGAAATAGGTCCGTGACGTAGGAAGTGGTGAAGGAAGTAGTCAAGGCGAGCTGTCCGGAGTGTGGGAACTGTTTATGACGATTAGATAAGGGTATGGGCTATCCTAAAATGCTATGGGAAGGGAGGGAAACAGGTCCGCGACGTAGGAAGTGGTGACGGAAGTAGTCAAGGCGAGTTGTCCGGAGTGTGGGAACTGTTTATGACGATTAGATTAAGGTATCAGCAATCTTTAAATGCAATGGGAAGGGAGGGAAACAGGTCCGCGACGTATTATGTGGTGAAGGAAGTAGTCAAGGCGAGCTGTCCGGAGTGTGGGAACTGTTTATGACGATTAGATTAATGTATCTGCAATCTTTAAATGCAATGGGAAGGGAGGGAAACATGTTTGCGACGTAGGAAGTGGTGAAGGAAGTAGTAAAGGCGATTAGTATGGAGCGTGGGAACTGTTTATGACGATTAGATTAACGTATCTGCAATTCTGAAATGCTATGGGAAGGGAGAAAAACAGGTCCGCTACGTTGGAAGTGGTGAAGGAAGTAGTCAAGGCGAGCTGTCCGGAGTGTGGGAACTGTTAATAACGATTAGATTAAGGTATCTACAATCTTAAAGTGCTATGGGAATGGAGGGAAACAGGTCCATGACGTAGGAAATGGTGTAGGACTTTGTAAAGGCGAGCCGTGTGGAGTTTGGGAACAGATTTATGTATCTCGGATACTAAGACTGCTTTCAGAGTGAACTAATGATTTTCTCCGAGCAAAGCTCGGTCCCCAGGTACTATTTGTTTAATACAGTAAGAATAATAAGATTATGTCTGCATGTTTAAGATACCTACACTATAAATACAATACTGAGTTCTGTCTTACCTTTGCGTAGGTTTGAAGCCGATGTTGTTGAAGAAAGACGCCAAGCAGCCTTCACTTTGTTGGATTATGTCGCTCAACACCCTTTGTTGTTCACATCTGATGTATTTGTGAAATTCTTTGAGGTACCGTAAGAATGTTTTTATATTTTAACCAAATGTTTAAATTAAGTACATCAATGTCTAGTTTCAAGACAATTGGGTATTCAAATGTGTATTGGAAAACTATGCCACATTGTCGAAATCGTTGTAATACGACAACATTTATTTAAACAATAACTTTCCTACTTAAAAATATTACGGTATACTGTAACTTTTCTCATAATCGAAGAAAATTACTTGCCTTGGGCTTAAGAATAATACAAAGTTTTTGAGAAAATTAAAAACAATATGATATCTGGGTTACTGTGATATCTTGCTCTTCATCATGCAATAGGTTTACATTCAGCTGATGAAATATCAACCTTTGATTCAGATGAGTTTCAGTCATACACTATAGTGTAACTTATTATAGCAACCCCCTTGGAAACTCTTTAGCGGAACTTAAATAGAAACCAATACAAAATATTATTAATACACAGTGATATAGCCATGTTTTGGCCCAATGACTTATACCTATCATAGGACATGAATACAGTTTATGATTCTAATTAGCATACTCAGGCCATTGATGCCACTACTTATTTTTATGTTTTGGTGACTATTGAATATTGGTATCAATACAACATTGTTATGGATCTCAATTGACAAGTTTCATAAAGATCTTTGGTTTGTTTAATTTAGAAATTTATTGCTTCTGTATGTTGGAAAACATACTTTAACTGAATCATGAAAGTATTTTTAGTACAACCTTTATAGGTTTGTATGTTTACAATCCCAAAGGAAAGGCGGCGCGGTTTATCATTGTCATAAAAATTTTAAAAAATGTATTAAAATGTTTAACTTAGAATATCAAATATCTATATCTATAAAGAATTATTTGATTTGATATAATACGTGAAGCCGATTTTTGTGATTACTACTCCTCCATTATTTGTGGACCAATTTCAACGTTTGAGGTGTCAAAAAATTTGTCTCAATTTGTAGTTTTTCTATAAGGTTTTAGATTATACGGGTACAAGGCGCTCTAAAGGTTGAATTGAAACCCTTCTTTTGACAAACGTTTCTGCCTTGATGAGTGACTGACCAGATGTTTTGTCTCAGAGCGGTTATACTGTGGACAGTGAGACAGGGAATGTCAGCAACTCAGCTGCAACAAGGTCTTCTTCTCCTTTGATATTTACAAACTCCAAACATGATCCTGATACTGGGTAAGCTATTCTATTCAACATTTACCAATTTGAGAATAAGATTATTATGTACAAGGATAGGGATCAGCTAGCTTACCTGGTAGATAGAGTCCAGATTAGCCTTGATTACACATAAAACACATGACACAACACAGAAAAACTTAATATTTCGTCCCAGTTAGGGACTTCATCAGAAGGGAGAAGAAAGAAAACTGGCAGTTACAGTTCAAATTCAAAAGTTCCACAATAGTGTTGCCAACTGTTGTTTAAAATTACTGTTGTTATGTACATCTATATACACATATACTTCTATATATACATATGGTGGTTGATTTTTATAAAAATGAAGCTAGCTGAGGGAATGGTTGGGTGAATTATCTGATGTTAAGGTTAGGAGGGTTTCTGGAATCAGTGATGTATTGGTAGGCTAGTTCCCACCTTCTGAGTAGGGAGCTGTTACATTGGTCTTTGGGGAGGGATTTTATGGCTTTTGTGGTGAAACATGTATCAAAGTCTAAGTTGTGGTTTGCTGCATGTATTGCAATGGGTTTGTATTTGTTTGTTTTAACATCCTGTCTATGTCCATTCATCCTTTTCCTAAGAGTTTGGGTGGTTAGGCCTATACAGGGTGAGTTTCTACTTAGCGTGTTAACTTCGCCAGTAGGTTCTACTCACTAAAAGGAACAAAAAATGTTCTATAAACCCATGTCCGGTTTTCAACCGTTTGGCTGTAATAGGGGATTTTGTGTTTTTCTTATTTTATTAGACTTTGCTCCACAATTTATGTAATAAAAACTTAACCAATTACTTTAGAGAGTTATAGTTAAAATCATTGGAAAGAATATTAAATTTGCTATAAATTAAAGGTTTCATTCAACAATTATACCATTACATAGTCCACGTTATATCCAAAATAAAGTAAAAATGTCATTAAATGAATTAATTACGAAAATGTTCATGAGCCCACTTTGATACATAAACCTGCATTTATGCAATGTTGATTTGCATAAAAAACTTGGTCATTTAATAATCTTTCAAATGATATCCTATTCAATACTATTATTGATATAATGCAGTGAGAAATTACTAATAAACTACAATAAAACACGGTTTACAGATTTTGTTTTTGCACAGTTTTACTGTTGATAATAATTACTGTATACTCCATGTTGTATTTTATTGAACAATCTGATAAGATTTGTACATTATTTTAACTTTTAAATATTTATTAAAATTATCTGAATTAATAAAATGTATAAACTAAAGGTATTTCACATTTTCAAAGATGTAGTGTGTTTGATTCTTAAATGCTGTATAATTAGTTTTACCTTGTGCTTGATTAAGTCAGCTTTTATTGATTTGTCATCTATAGCTAGATAACTCAGCTGCTTAAACATACCTTGTTGAGTAATTTGCTGTTTTAACTTTATATTTCCAAGTCAATTAAGAGTTTTTCAACATTTATTAAAATATGGAGCCTTTTACCAATCAAGAGTATGCCAACATGATGAATACAGTAATTATTATTAACAGTACAAACTGTGTCAAAACAAAATCTGTAGACCGTGTTTTATTGTAGTTTATTAGTAATTTCTCACTGGTTTATATAAATAATAGTATTGAATAGCATATCATTTGAAAGATTATTAAATGGCCAAGTTTTTTATGCATTTCAACATTGCATAGATGAAGGTTTATGTATCAAAGTGGGCTCAAGAAAATTATCCTAATTAATTAATTTAATGACATTTTTACTTTATTTTGGATATAACGTGGACTATGTAATGGTATAATTCTTGAATGAAACCTTTGATTTATTGCAAATTTAATATTCTTTCCAATGATTTTTAACTATAACTCTCTAAAGTAATTGGTTAAGTTTTTATTACATAAATTGTGGAGCAAAGTCTAATAAAATAAGAAAAACACAAAATCCCCTATTACAGCCAAACGGTTGAAAATCGGACATGGGTTTATATGAACTTTTTTGTTCCTTTTAGTGAGTAGAACCTACTGGCAAAGTTAACACGGTCAGTAGAAACTCACCCTGTATATTGAGCTTGACAGAGTTTGCATTGTAGTTGGTAGATCAGGTTTTCGCTATTGCATGTTATGTGGTCTTTTATTTTGTACTCTTTGTTGTAGGATGTGCTGGTGAAGGTTTCTGCAGGAATGTTGATGCCACAGGTCTTGCATTTGGTTTCATTGCATGGGTAGGAACCTGGGGGCAGTCTTGGAGGTGGTTCAACAGACGGGTCGGGTAACTTGGGATGGACAAGGATGGTTTTTAGATTGGCAGGTTGTCTGTAGACTATGGTGGGGGGTTTTTGGAAGAGATCTTTGGTCTGGGTGGAGCTTCGAAGCATGTTGTAGCCGGTTCTCAAAAGGTTATTGAGCCTGTTGAGACCTGGGTGGTAAGTAGTCACCAGGTTGACATCGTAGGTGGTTTTGGTTGAGACCTGGTTATTGATGAAAACCAAATGCAAGACCTGTGGCCTCAACATTCCTGCAGAAACCTTCACCAGCACATCGTACAACAAAGAGTACAAAATAAAAGACCACATAACATGCAATAGCGAAAACCTGATCTACCAACTACAATGCAAACTCTGTCAAGCTCAATATATAGGCCTAACCACCCAAACTCTTAGGAAAAGGATGAATGGACATAGACAGGATGTTAAAACAAACAAATACAAACCCATTGCAATACATGCAGCAAACCACAACTTAGACTTTGATACATGTTTCACCACAAAAGCCATAAAATCCCTCCCCAAAGACCAATGTAACAGCTCCCTACTCAGAAGGTGGGAACTAGCCTACCAATACATCACTGATTCCAGAAACCCTCCTAACCTTAACATCAGATAATTCACCCAACCATTCCCTCAGCTAGCTTCATTTTTATAAAAATCAACCACCATATGTATATATAGAAGTATATGTGTATATAGATGTACATAACAACAGTAATTTTAAACAACAGTTGGCAACACTATTGTGGAACTTTTGAATTTGAACTGTAACTGCCAGTTTTCTTTCTTCTCCCTTCTGATGAAGTCCCTAACTGGGACGAAATATTAAGTTTTTCTGTGTTGTGTCATGTGTTTTATGTGTAATCAAGGCTAATCTGGACTCTATCTACCAGGTAAGCTAGCTGATCCCTATCCTTGTACATAATAATCCTAATCAGCCAATTGGCCTTTCCTTAACTCCTAACCAATTTGAGAATAAAACAAAGATATCAAGTATTATGGATTTTAACAATCATTTTCTCTAACAATCTTTAAGTCTAAACAGATGTTAAGAGTAGCCATTGTGATTGTTCACAGCCAGCCTCCAGGACCGGGCAGCTCTGATGATGAACACACCAGCTTTACCACTGACACAGACTCCATCAGCTCTCCTGTACAGGTACTTGGCCTGTTCATATCTATCAATCAATTCAATAAAAAATAAGTCATATATACATTAGGCTTACCGCACCCCTTAAAGTAGAAAAAATCACTTGAACAACAAAGATGTGATTGTTACTCAAACGTAAAACTGATCAGATGACACATGTCAAATTATGAAGAAACATGATCATGTATGAAATTCTAGGAGATTTTACTAGATATCGCAAATCTAAAGCTTTGTCTCACTACACAGTGACCACCATAGCAGTTCGACTAATAGTCTTCCAAGTTAAGACATTGACTATTCTAGAGGTTAAATACCTTGTTGCCAACGTAATCCTTGGTTTTTCTGAATGGCGACCGGTTTCAACAATCTTAAGGTGTCATTGTCAAGCCTTATTCGTGTGGTTGTCTCTCCTAAGAGGTCATCAAAAGTCTTCAAAACACACACACACACACACACATACAGAGACACAAACATAAACATCCGTTTTTACCAGGAAATACTGTTTGGCCATACAACTAATGATGACGGCGTGGCTGCAGGTTTAGGTTGCAGGTCTAGACTGTGACCGCCAGGTCTAGCCTGAAGTAATGTCAAAAACACACACACACACACACATACACACACACACACACACACACAGACACAAACATAAACATCCGTTTTTACCAGGAAATACTGTTTGGCCATACAACTAATGATGACGGCGCGGCTGCAGGTTTAGGTTGCAGGTCTAGACTGTGACCGCCAGGTCTAGCCTGAAGTAATGTCAAAAACACACACACACACACACATACACACACACACACACACAGACACAAACATAAACATCCGTTTTTACCAGGAAATACTGTTTGGCCATACAACTAATGATGACGGCGCGGCTGCAGGTTTAGGTTGCAGGTCTAGACTGTGACCGCCAGGTCTAGCCTGAAGTAATGTCAAAAACGATCCCTGGCTAGAGCCTAGCGTACTAGGACAAACAAATATATAGATCGTACTAAAAAATGTAATCCCCTTACCTGAATTTAAAAGAAATGAATTTGTGTACGGTAAATGAAGTTTTGTTTCTAAAATGAATTATGGATGTGTCACTAATTCATACAGCAGATCTTAAGAATTACATTATTCTCTTGCACTTTCTCTTCCCGTTTGAAGCACAGGTAGTAACAGTAGCTTATTATCAAACTATTTTGAGTAAAATGTTAAAAATTAGTGGAGACATGAACCAGCCAGCCCCAGGGTTGCCACCATAGTTTAGGGGAAAATTGGGACATGGCCCGGCAGAATCGGGATGGGTGGCAACGCTGGCCAGCCCTCACAACCATAGATGTCCCAGTCTTATACAATCTGTATATGTTGTATAGCCTACACTGTGCGAGAGTCCACAGGACCTGTCAGTGGAAGAGGAGACATGGAGCAGCCAGCCCTCACAACTACAGCAATCCCAGTCCCAGACAACACTTAGTAGCCTTGCCTCTGTAGAAAGTCTCTTCTCTAGAAGAATTCAATCGTTCAAAAACCGCTTCATTGGTGTCAGCTCTGAAGGAAATGATAATCGAAACAAAGGTGATTTTACTCTTTTCTTAAAACTAATTCCTAAATATATCTTCTTTTACTCTTATGTTATTTTAAGTAAGGTGTCAGTATAAAATCTGTAGTATTTTTAAGAGAGGCTATATTTTTTATTTAACCTCTACGTAGTTTTCTGTTTAAAAATTAGGTAAATGGTAGAAAGTGAACATAGTTGAAAGTAACCAACCAAACCTCCTATACTACACACACCACCATTGTTTACCTCAAGCAGTCAGCCTACGTTGTGCTGAGGGACGTGATGGGGCGGAAATGCTTGGGTATTTGTATCATTATAATTGCAGCTTTTTACCGGGTCTGACTTAGGGGAGGTACGATTGAGGCATTAGCTCAAAATTCCTCCGTGAACAGCGCTGTAGTAGAGAGCATTTTGGCAATGAAGGTTTACTAATCGCAAAAATAGTTCTGTTCATAAAATAAAATTATAAATGCATCAAATTCAATTTTATAATTTTTTTATTATAAAATTACTATTATAACCTAACCGAACTAACCAAACTTGCTGATAATGAATTAATATAACAAAAGTTCATTAATAGAAAAAATAATTCTGTTCATTAAATAAAACTAGAAATTGCTCAATTAAAATTTTATAATGTCTTAATAATAAAATTAAACTGTCATAACCGAACCAAACTTGCTGATAATGAAAAAATCTTAGTCAAAAAGTTAGTGCCACCAGCGGGATTCGAACCCGGGACTCTCAGCATGTCAGCCCGGCACGCTAACCACTAGACCACCGAGGCCATGGCTGCAAACTGTATTGTTATGGTAATGGTGTTCCCACAGCTAATGAGAAGCCCACAGCTGTCATCGTAAGCTCATCTATACCTCCCCTGAGTAAATACCCTTTTTACCCATATGCAACAGCTGAGAACTAAAAATAAGAAAATTCAAGTCTAGTCAACCAGTTAGGCTACTATAGGACACATTATAGAACCACCATTGAACATAAGCTAAACACTTCTTTTTACAAACTTTTGCTTGTTTTAAATCATTTGTCTGGTAAAACTGTCAACAACTTACAACGTAAACTTTTCATTGAAAATTTACAGAAGGAATCTTTCTCTAAACATCAGATTGGTATTTGATTGATAGTGTTTGTAGTAAAGCGTTGGATAAAGTTCCAATGTTGCACAAAACTGGATTTTAAACTAGAGACATTATCAAAGCAAATGAATACAGGAAAGCGAGTTTTAGGAGGATTATGCTATGTTTTTCCTGCAGTAGGCTATGTAAATTGCCATTGTCACTGACAGAAAGAAATTGAGATAATACTCTTTTTGATTTTCTTATGCTATAAAACATGAAAATGACAAAAAATTCATAATTTTAATGGAATGTACAGAAAAAAAAAACTGTTTTTTTTAGACTATACCAGTACTATCTGTGTATTTTTGACAGAGGCGGAGACATCAAGATACTGGACAGAGGCACAGAAAGTGATCTCAACTGCAGAAGAGAGAGAGAGACTCGGTGACCACCAGGAAGCCTTCAACTGTTACAAGGCAGCCATAGCACAGCTGCTCAGTGGAGTACAAAGTTAGCAAATCACTCTGTGTAATTGAGCTTTGGAATTTACTTTTTTACATTTTTCTAATAAATATTATCAATCTTACAATAGATATAGGGAAGGTCACTATAGTCCGTTCATAAAATTTAGGCGGTTTAAGGGGATGTCACCCCACTACTTTTTTCTGCTTAATGTATGTTGGCAGTTGATTGAGGTCTTGTCAAATCTCTGTTGAGCTATGTTTTAAAGGTAGGATCAAGAGGGGATAGATTTCTTCCCCTAAAACCACCTAAATTGTGTGAATGGAGTATAAAGTGAATAATCAAGGTCAATAAAATATGTTCTCAAAATATATTGCAAAATTTTTATTCAATTATTATTCTTTAAATTAAATAAATATATAGGATGGAGAGGACACAGCTAACTCACCTGATGTAAGGTTGCAGACGAGTCAAAGAACACATAACAACACACTCATAATAATACTTGATCTTGATATTTCGCCTCTTTCACAGGCTTCTTTAGAAGTAGGCCTAGATAGCAGTTACAAAAACAACAGTTTGTTCTTTAATTATTATTCTCTAAATTATTTTTCATGAGAATTGATTCAGATACAGTGAACGAAGTATTTTTTTCCACTACAGTTTTAGAACCAGTTTTTTTTCTGGCAGATAGGCTACTAAACTGGCATCAAGGCCAGTTAAATAGAATGGTTATACGGTACAAAAAATAATAAAGACTAGGGATGGACGGGTCCCAAAATTTTGGGAAAAAATATTCCCGATTTTCAGGACGGGATTACAATTTGATTCGGGAATTTTTCGGGACAGGATTTGATCCGATCGTCGGCGATTTTGCCACTTGGCGAGTGAGGATGACGCCGCTATCGCGAGAGATGTTCACGATAGTTCCGCGAACGCAGGAGGCGAAGTCATTTCGACGAACGTGCCGTGACCGCAGAGTCATACCGACGATCCCGCCGAGACCGTGAGTCATAACGACGATTGCACCGTGACCGCGGAATCATACCGACGATCATGCCGTGACCACGGAGTCATACGGACGATCACACCGTGACCGCGGAGTCATACCCGACGATCACGCCGTGACCACGGAGTCATAAAGACGTTCGTACCGCGACCGCGGAGTCATACCGACAATCATGCCGTGACCGCGATTACTATACCTGTAAATTTTTACCCATTTTTTTGGTTTTTATAGATCAGTGCCACAAATGGTAAAATTGATTTTGTTTGCATTTTTTGGTAACTGCAATACTCAAGACTTTTTTTTATGCACAGGAAAAAATCGTGTCCCATTCCCGTCCCGTCCCGAACTAAAAATTCAATCCCGTCCATCCCTAATAAAAACCTGTTAACATGTAAAAAAATCACTAAATGAATAAAGTTTCTATGATACCAAACCTTTCAAAGTGATAAGATAAAGTGATATACATTGCACAGCTCAAGGGAATAATTTGCACTTGACTAAGACATGAGTGGTAGCTGAGAGCTAATATGCAGGTATGAGGAGTTGTCAAAATGTACGATGTGCAGTGTGCTAAAAAAATAAATGGAGTACAGTCAAGTGCAGGTGCCTAAAACCTGGCAGGTATCTTCTGAGTACAGTAGAGGTGGAAAAAAGGTTGTCACAACGTACTCTCCACAATGTACAGTACATTGAAGTAAATTTGAGATAGTATATAAAACATATTTTTTTCTTTCTTTCTATCAACATTTTCTTTTTTACTTCTTCATAAATTACTAGCAGAGCACCCGTCCTCCATACGGGGTTGGCATATAAGTATAAAACGCTTATTGACTCAAGCTTTGAGTTTGCAATGGGGGAGGACACAGTTTGGTAAAATTTGGTTCATAAATTTATGGTATGATATAGTATAGCCTAACACATCTACCATTTCCATAATGTTCAACCATTGCACCTAAACAATAGAAAAAATATATTATCAAACATTCGCACAATATCACAAATTATTCATTAAATTAAAAACTCAAACCTAACTGTAAACAATCCTATTTGACAGTTCTCATCGTGTATCACAGCTTTTTGTTGCTGCTTAGTTCAAATTAGCTGTTGTCATATATGCACAAACAAAATAATAATAGTGCTGCACCCTGTTGGGAAACCTTATAATTTTTTAATGCTATTGAATATTATAGAACCAACTTGTAAAGTTGAAACAGCTGACTAAATTCTTTAATTCCCTTTAAATATGAATACTCATAAGGTTAACATGGGGTACTACAGAGCCACTGGGGCGGAGCCCGAAAGGATTTTTGAGATAAGAATATGCCTAAATGTTAATAGGGAATGTGAGCCATCATCATGCCAAATTTCAGCCCAATCCATCCAGTAGTTTATGCATGATTGAGCAACACACAAACATACACACAAACTCACAAACTTTCAGATTTATAATATTAGTAAGATATGTATTTTGGATTTTTGCTATAACCATCTGATTCAGAGTGGTAAACACTTCTATTTGTTATTGTTTGTTTGTTCTTGAAGAAGGCTAATGCCGAAATATAGAACTTTTTTTTAAAAGTGTGTGATAAGTTTATTTTGGAAAATGATTTAGCCGTTTGGCAATATTATAAAGAAACAATGTACAGTACAGTCGGCTACACTAAATGCTACTAGATTATCCTCAGGGAAAGTTGAATAACAGAGAAAGGTGGATAATTGAAGTCAGATAATGAAGAGTCTATTGTAATACTAGGGTTGCTTTCAGAGAGGTGAAAGCCAGTTGAGCGGAACAAACGTGATTTGATATTTGTATAAGTAACTAAATGTAAAAAAGTCAATAGATATACTAATGTTTGTTTTATTGATACAAATTATAATAATTCAAATTTGTTTTAACTACATCTTGTTATTCAGATACCTCGCCAGAAGTGAATATGGTAGTTTTGACCAGAAAAATATTACAGTAGTTGGAATCTGATATTAACATCCATAAAGGGCATTCAAGTATAAAAAAGAAAGGAAATTTAACATTCAAATTCAACTGTAGCCTAGAACAAAAACATTGGACTTCATTTTTCACCCTTACAATCAGTTAAAGTATTTAAGTAAAGTAAACGAGTATTAAAGTATAATATCAGGAGGGGAAATTTGACATTTAAATTCAACTGTGCCACATAACATTGGTCTTCATTTCAACCATTGCAATCAGTTAAACTCAGCTTTCTTTGCTGGAAATAGTTTATGATTGTTAATACCAAGTATTCTTGATGGAGGATATGATTGTAATGTAACTGGAATGTAGGTCTTCTACCATTATTGGGACGATTTAAGGTCCAAATCCAAATGCTCTTTTCTTTTGGTCTGTATGTAGTAATGTAGTAATGTAGTAATTTGCTAGTATCATTGACTTTATATAAAGTCAATGCTAGAATACTGTAGATGGTTTGTTAAGACCATAATGCAAGCATTTTTGAAATCGTTTCCCTGTTTAACCAACTATTCCAAAAAATAAAAAAATAATATGGTGCAACAGAAATAAATAAACCGATCACCTACCTATAACCTACACTTTACCTTCCTAATCTAACGTTACTTCACACTTAATGTAGTCACGAATACTCATAAACCCCGACCTACCTCCCCACATGCCTAAATTAGATCAGGGTTCAATCTGCGTTTTATTAATAAGTGTAATAACTTACTGTATCGTCGATGTAATTCAACATAATATAACCTGTAAGGTATTATCGGATTAAATATCGATTTCAATGCGGTTCGATATATCGCTTATTAAATCCTTATTTCTAACATTGACTGTTTCTAATCAGCTGGCAACACAAATAGGTGCCCAAGAGTAAGTCGAGTAGTCACTGCGATATGCTCCGCGCATTGAGAAAGTAGTTCCGTCTATTTTCGCAATTTGTAGTGAAGTCCGCTCCTTAAAAAATGTTTTAACGGTATTTTCTTGTTTATTAAGATCATAGGAATGATTTTAAAACGTTTAAAAGAAAAGTCTAGAAAGTTCAGAAATACCTTATGATTCTCTTGTTTACATTTTTCTTGTAAACAAAAAACTGTCATATGGCTACTTTAGTACCATAAGCCTAATGTTAAAAATTGGAAATTTTAAGTTCGTTTTAAATTGCATTAGCATTATCTAATTGAAATTTGTTTGTTTAAAAACCATCTCACTATTAGTCTAAGTAATTTTGTTAAGTTTGGCTGAAATGCGTTCAGGCGTTATTGAGTGATGTTTCTCTATTTGTTGATCCCAAAGAGCTTCGCTCGATAAAAGTCAGTCTATTCCAATTATTTTATGACAATTAACAGTCATACACAAACTAAATTGGCTCTGTTAAAATTCTAACGTTACCTATTAGTTTTTGCAAAGGATGTACTATACTGTACTGCATTGAATTTAACATCAATAAACAGTTAAGTATTGTATGGATAAAACAATTTTTAAATGATCTATACATTAACAGACATTGGGTGTTTTGCTAGCCTAGTGGTTGGCGTCTCGGACTTCGGTGAGGGAGAGACGGGTTCAATTCCCAGCACATCGACTAAATATTTATTCTTCTCATTGACATCTCGTAAAATGCCACTGATGTAGATGTAGAAAATAAAAACAAAAAACCAATACATCTAGTGATGGGTCGGTACCACTTTTACAAAGTCGGTACTGGCACAGGTTCATAGCCAAAATCGATTCTCGGTTCTCGGTTCCGGTACGTTCAGTACCTTATTTTAAATTTTTACTTTTTAGGATAGCCAACTTTATTTTTTTTTTTTAACAGAATATCAATATTTCAATTTTACAGTATTTTGTATTAGAATAGGTTGGTCATACAAAACTTAAGGGATTATGAAAATAAAACTTATTTGTAAAAAGAAACACACTTAAATAACCGAACACATTCAAATCAAAATAATATAGAGTGTAGCTGAAGGGTTAAAAATAATTGATGAAATTGGTGATTGGTCGATACCAAAATTATTCAATTCTCGATACCGATACCTAAAAAAACAATTCTCAATACCAATACCATTTTTTAAATAGTTTTACCAAGTTTTGTCAATTACTGAAACATCATCACTGTTTTTCATGGTCGCGGCAAGGTCATGAACATCTTCTGCGGCCGTGAAGACATCATCATAAACTCCTGCGATCAGGGAAACGTCTTCATCGTCGTCCGCGATTTCGGAAAAATCATGAACATGTCTTGCGGCCATGTAGTCGTCATAATCGTCTCCCGGTATAGCAGCAACGTCATCGTCGTTGTCCGCGATCGCGGCAAAATCATCTCCCGCGGCCTTGTAAACATCATCATTGACTCCCGCAGTCCCAGAAACTTCATCATCGTCTTGTGCCATTGCGGCAAAATCATTAACATCTCCTGCGGCCATGTAGACATCATCGTCGTCTCCCGGAATTGCGGTAACGTCATCATCGTCGTCCGTGATCGCGATTACGGCAAAATCATCTCCCACGGTCATGGAAACGCCATCGTCGTCTTGCGCGGTGGCGGCAATATCGGTAATTTTCCGGTATTACCGGTGATGGGTTTCAGTACCGGTACCGACATTTCTCCATCGGTTCTCAGTTCTATTTGGCGTGAAGTACCGACCCATCACTAATCATAATGAACGTTTCTAGTACCACAATTTTATATCAGATTATTCAAATTGGATCCTGTCAAGTTACAAGTTGTACAAGTATTGTTTGGTATAATAAGAAAAATATATGTACTTAGAATGAAATTAATCAGTCTTAATTAGGCTAATTTTAAAAGTGCTAAACAATGTTGAATTACTGTCACAGACCTTAGTGAAGCTGAAGAGATGTTTGGTTTGGGGTACCCCACCTGACTTGAAGCACTGGGCAATGGCGGCGTCGATGAGGACTGTCCATGTACACGTTGAACTACTTGCACTATTACAATTGTCCGTTAAATAAACAAAAAATCATTTCTTCTTGGGATAAAAACAAAACTATTGTCACTTCTATTAGCACTGTACAGACTGATTAATTTAAAAAGTAAAAAGGTAAAAATTGCGGGATGATCAAAAGATTATGCGGATAGACGATAGAAAATATGATGATAATTCAGCGGCGGACGACAGTGGACTGCGTCGTTTGGAAAGATATCAGCGTTGAGGGCAAAGGCCGCATACCTTCGTTATCGCGAAGAGCGGCTGAATAGCAGAAAATTACTTGGGCTAGGTTTTGTTTGAAACGGAAAAATATAAATAAGGAATTGTTTGATTTTAAAATCATGAAACTTAAAATATCCAACAAGTATCATCTAGATGAGAGAGATAGATAAAAGGCAAAACTTATCCTATTCATCTAGAGATATAATAAGGTTCCTTTGGATTAAGAACAATTGTCACAATTTAGGCCTATACCTTTTTTATAATTGTTTCTGTAAACTCCCCAGATGACACAGACCCTGATAGGAGAAAGTTGGTCCGAGAGAAAACTTCTGATTACTTGTGCAAAGCTGAGTTTATTGCAAATAACTTTCTTTCCACTGATGTCAGTACAACCAAAAAAACGGTAAGTAGTAATTTATTATTTTCTATATGAATACAGTTTGAGTTCTATTTGATCATTGAAGTGTATAAGCCAGAGATTGATTTTCCATTTACAGTCCATGAATAAGAAACAGACATAATAATAAATTCATTAAAAAAATGTTTTCACATCATGTTAAATAGTCATGTTAAATAATATTCCTTATTTATTATGATTAGAAAAATGTTTAACGCTGGCAAGGTTTAACAAGAGAGACTGAACTCACGTGTCTGACTGGACTCAAGAGAGACTGAACTCACGTGTCTGACTGGACTCAAGAGAGACTGAACTCACGTGTCTGACTGGACTCAAGAGAGACTGAACTCACGTGTCTGACCGTACTCAAGAGAGACTGAACTCACGTGTCTGACTGGACTCAAGAGAGACTGAACTCACGTGTCTGACCGGTATCAAAAGAGACTGAACTCACGTGTCTGACCGTACTCAAGAGAGACTGAACTCACTTGTCTGACTGGACTCAAGAGAGACTGAACTCATGTGTCTGACCGGTATCAAAAGAGACTGAACTCACGTGTCTGACTGTACTTAAGAGAGGCTGAACTCGCGAGTATGACCGGTACCTAATTTCAAGTGATGGTCATTGTGAGTTCTTGATTTTTACTATTCATGATGGAAAATGTTCCCAATAATCCCTCAAACCCCATTAACCCAGCATCACCAAAAATGAACTTCAAACAATTATTGTGTGAAACAACCAGATATAACATAACAATGATGAACAGATAATTCTATAATTCATGGACTGTAATTGTGTTTCAAACAGATTGTATTGATAATTGATTCTTATTATTATAACAGTAAGACATAATTATTATATTCCGTTTTCCGTTTTTTTTTATATTTCAGGACAGTGACATTGTGCCATTGTCTAGGCTGTGGCAGCCTCTCTCAGACCTCCAATACTTTAAAGTAGTCGGTGTCCTCAACAAAGTGATGCTAGTCATTGATTCTCGGACTAATTTCTTATTCATTATTAAGGTAATTTATTAATAACTAAACTTAAATTTTATACTGTGGTTAGAACAAATATAATTATCTTTTTATTTCAACTTTATCCAGCCCATTTTGGGGGGGGGGGGGGGATCTTAGCACCGCTTTTGTGATTGCTGTAGTTCAATAAACTATCATAAACATAAGTTAGCAAGGCCTATTATGAAACCTCTCGGGCACCCTTAGACCAACTCAACACATATAGTCTTCTCCAACATAGTTCTTGTGGTTACACAAACTAACACATCTGTGAGAGAACATAATGGGTTCCTTTTAACGAGCCTTTAATTTGTTGAGTGTTACCATGATATTATGATAGCTTTCCAAACTACGGTAAGTGGGATTTTGCACATTGATTTGACACAGATTGTGGTAAATAATAAATTACCATCAACAGTTAGGGGAGTTTGTAGTGTTACAAATGAACTCAAGGCAACATTTTCACGGTATTTCGTCCTGTATCGTACATTTAATCTTTCAATGCTAGATACAGCTTAGGGCTAAGGCTCATGTAGATAAATAAATTAAAGATTTACAAAGGCAGTCAACCTCTTAAAAAAATAATCGACAGGCAAGTAGGCTCCTCTGGTGCCATTAATTCAAACAAATACATCTATAGACTAGGAAAGTAGTATAGTTGTTGGCTGCTCAGTGTTGTCGGCTAGTTCTAACCCTTCTATGTTCATGTGTATCAGCACCTCAAGAAATTTTAGTGTTTCTTATCCTGTGTAGGAGCACTTTCATAAAATGTAAACTATTATATTCCCATTATAATTTCATGATTTGTATTTTAAATCCTGTGATTGTTTTAGGCTCTCTACAAATCTGCTCACCCAGTCAATGAGAACAAACGGTGTATTTTCCCTCGTCGTATTCCTTACGTAGTTGAACTGAACTCAATCTATGAAACAGATTCTTCAGTTTTCCTGGTACTGCAGTATTTCAGGTAAAATTACTGTCTACTTTGTTAGTTTTGTTTACATAAGTTTTATTATTAAGTTGTAGATATTACTAATAAATTAATTGCATTAAACCAAATTAATTTTTTGTAAAATATAATATAGGTACTGAGTTTGAAAACTGTCAAAAACTTAAATATGAATGAAAAATTGCATACCATTGATATAAGGCTATACTCCATACCGCATTCACCGTGCATAACCAAGCGCCCATAAGGCATGTATTTTAAATGGCAATTTCAGCAACAATAGCTGTTGTAAAAACAATCATCAGGACCTGCAAAACCTTTTTTAATTTTTACTTTTTCTAATTTCAATGCCAAAAACCAATCTTTAAACAAAAAATGTACAGAAATAAGTCAAATAAGTAGCTTACTTGGCGCCTTCTTTAGGGTTGTGAGGACAGTTGGCGCAACCCTTATGACAATTTAAGCATGATGTTTCCTTAATAGCACAACTATCTCCCTTAAGTACTGCATGGTAAATGTGGAATGGAGTATAGTAAGTGAGTCAGCCATCAGTCCAGCAACTGCAGGTATTCTGGTTTGTAAGAACACACACAAGGGTCCACTAACTCTCAAGAACTCACCAGTAAACTGACAGAGTATTATTGGTTATACACACTTAACCTATAAATAAGAATTAATTACCAGAGTAGGTAACCATTAAATCATTTAACACATGTTTTTATCAGCGGTGGCAAGCTGTGGGACTACATAAGTCCGTTCTTCCAAAAGCCTCAAGAGACCCCACTGAAGACTAGACGGAGTAGCAACAACAGCAACCCTTACATTGGCCGACGCTGTCTCGAGCCAGACCTCGTGTCTATCTCCACATCTGACTCCTGCCCTTCACGTCTCAACATGCAAGGCGAGGGTAGGTATCATTGCAGACATTTCCAATCACGATAAGTGAAATACAAGTGTTCATAACTTTTCAGAACTGGGAATTTGATCCAGTTATTAGGTGGAAAAGTACCTTTTCCTACAGTTACCTAACAATGTACATGTTCTGTCACTGATTTGAGAAAGCAAAGTGGCCATTTCGCTCATCAGCGAGACAATGTTAACATTGTCTCACTCTAATTACTTTGTCTCACTCCAGATTTGCAACGCGAAGGCACGAAATAGTGAGCGCATAACATGCAGACAAGGTCGTATGCGCGCGAAATACGTAGGCAGCACTGGCTGTAAATCAGCTGGTCAGCTGTTGTACTGTTGTATCATTAAATGTAATATTAAAAGTTCACTTCTGTACAAAAATATGTTAGTTTTCTTTACCAATTTATTTGTTTTATGGTAACTGTAGGAAAAATATAATGTGCAACTCGAGTGCAAAGTGCAATTGCCTCACTCGAGAAACCATTCCTCACTTGCCTACGGCTCGTGAGTAAGTATTTCTCTCGAGTGAGTCAATTGCTCACTTTGCTCACTAGTTGCACAAATAACTATAAACACGAGATAAAGTCACAAACTAAGCAACAGCTGGAAAATTACCAAAGAAAAACCACACAAAAAGGTATAGTTTTAAAAAGTAAGTAAAATATGCTGCAAGAAATCAACTATGGACAAGTCTGCACAAGATGGTGGCTTAAGCAAGATAGATAAAAAAAAGTAAAAACTTGTTTATTACTAATCGTAATAGAAAATTTCCGCAGTAGTTTCTCAAATAAAAAAAAAACTTACGTCACCATAAATGAACTTCAAATGAAGTGGAGTACTTAAAAATTGATTTGTTGAAATACTCCTACAATTTAATAAAACATAAACCTTCAAAATAATAATGGTGGGGTTTTATATATATAAATAAAATTAGAGTTTTGTCTGTACATTGCTCAGAATCATAAATTTTTAGGTTATTTTTACGTTTTATACATTAAAGAAGCCGAAACAAGCCTCATCTAAATTTCTGTCCGTCTGTCCGTCTGTAACACTCAAGATGGCATTTTACGCAATCTTCTCCAGGAAAATGAGAGTACCTATCAAGCTCCAAGTCATTTTAATGTATTCACTGGATTGGCGAGAGTGTCTTTAGCCATTAAAATATGGCCTCACTAACTTGTAAATAAAATTACGGACATTCAAAAATGCAGTTTTGTGCGATTTTTGTCAAGTTTTCGTCCAATTTTTATCACATAATCATCTATGAAATAACGAACAGCTGTTTGGATCAAGATTATTTTTTCTATCTGTCACTAAACGTTTACAAATGTTGTTTCCAAATACCGCAACCATTTCCGATCACGTTTTGAAGGCAAATCCCATCCAAGTGATATTAAAAACGTGTTTCTTACATAAAGAATGTAATTAATCGCAAGTGGAATAATATAGTGTAACCGTAAATTAATTTATATAAATAGGCATCATCCAGGTCAGGAACCAGAGATTCTTTGTGCATAAAATTGTTCTTGAGTTTTGATAACCAGAAAGAAGACCTTGAATCAGTGTTGTATACGGCTGGGAAACTTAAATTTATTAATGATCGTCGCCAATAGCTTAGAAATAAGGTTTCCACTCATTGACTCCGCTTCAATGGCGGTTGTCTAAAGTGTAAAGTAAAAAATCACAACTGCAGTGGGTGATTGTAACAGAGGTCTACGGATGATGCTAAACTCAATTTTCCAATGTGTCACTTTCTGTTCCTACCATTGACTATATATATATATAGTCAATAGTTCCTACTCACCGTGTGATGCAATCGCTGGACCATACAGCCAATAGGCCCATAGCCCATCTCTTGGGTATGTACGCCTACCCAATTATAAAAACCTTTTCGACGACGATCCTTGATACTGGTACTTTTCCCTAGAATACACGGCCTACCTACTTAAGAAATAAAATTACAAACGTCCAAAAACCCAACGTTGTGTGATTTTTGTCACATTTCCTTCTTATGTTAATAGATATACCAATCATTGTTTAGGGAATTCGTAATCTATTAAATAACAGAAAGTTGTTGTATAAGGTTGTTTTTTTTTTCAAACTGACACCGATAAGTTTACATTAAAAGTTGTTTACAAATAAAGCAATTAATGGGAAATAACTTTGATTGCCGATAACTTTTTATACGAGAAAATCCAAAACCAAGAGATCAATAACCTTGATTAACGCATATAATTGGTCGGCGGTACTATAGTTCTAACTGTAAACGTTGGTTTTTGGTACTGGTTATTTTCCTTTGAACTGTTGGTAGCAGCAAGAATCATTTTTACGTACCATCACATCACTGTAATTTACAAATTAGTTATCGTTGGTGTTGCACCTTATTTATTACAGGCGTATTCAATTTAATTGATGTCTTAACTGTATAAGTTTTGCTTTTTCTGTCTGGATTCCAAAATGTTAGTTTATGCTAAGAAAACGATAACGCATTTTAGTAAAACATTTATTCAGCAAACCATCATGAATTGTTCAAACGCTTTAAACGTTGTTTATGTATCAGTAGTTCGTGGCCTATTTTGGTAATTTTATTATAAATTACCAATCTAAATCGTCTATAGTACTTCATTTCATATAGCAAGCCGATTCATATAGCATTTCGACATTATTTCGGGTCATCTTCGGTCCAAGCAAATATAAATTGTTATGATAAAATTTTATAACATTAACAAAGGGAATGTTGCTGAAAGTCAACAGTCCCGGAAGATCAAATAATTTATACCTGTGCCGCTAGATCAAAAACTACAATGTTTGCAGTGTCTGTAGATCAAAAATCCCAGAAAGTCAAATAGTACAGTCCGGGCTAAAAGTTTAGTCTATGTTAAAGCAATTGACTTATTGGGAATTTGACCTAATGCAACAGCAGGTTTAATATAACGAAATACGGTAAAATACAAGTTCAGTTTCGCTGAGTCAAAAGTGCCGGAAGATCAAAAGCAATAAAAGTGAACGTCGATTCAGTGTAAAGTAGACCTCCTGCAACGCTTACTACACCAACAAAACTCGCTTTTAGTTACTTCGTGTTTTGTCATAATTAGAATAGAGCTAAAATTATCATATTTGGTACATAGCTTATTTATTAATGCTTCTTGCCAACTGTTTGGTCAACACTGTAAATAGGTATAGTTTATGTAATGAAAAGCCTTTCGTCAAAATTTGTGGCATAAAATACACGCAAGGACGATCTGAACATTTCTGGTTATTATATACGTTTGTAAAAGGAGATCCATTTAATTGTAGAACTATTTTATGAGTTATAATGTAGTCTACATATAAACTGTGTAAATGTATTACGCCACGGAAGGGTTGAAACCTGTCCAAACTATCATATATATTATTATAACGTAAATGGGGTTTTTTCACGATTCTGAATCAACCAGTCGATGGATTTTCATTAGTTTTGTGTTGAAAGAAAGACAATTTTGAGAACTAGATAATTTCAAAGCCATAATTTAAAATTAGTGTCCCAGTTTTTTATAAATTAAGTTTTAGTTTTTAAAAAGTCTAGCAGCCAATGCTAACCTTCTCCAATAAGTCAATGCTTCTAGCTAGCTTTTAGTACAATATAATTTGCTTAACATAACAGCTGTAACATTCAGCATTTGTGACACAAATTCAGCATTTGGAAGAAAATTCAAATACATACTTATGGTTGACTTATTTATACTATGTATGTGTAATGCTGACCATTGATACATTTAATTCTTCGGTACGAGGATGGCAGATTAATTAAATGTGCATAGTAAAATACAGTAGTAGGATGTTCAAATTATTTTTTAAAGTATTCTTTGTAATCATCGATTTGTTTTAGTCCAATATAATTTGTTTTAACTAACAGCTGGTTGAATGTGCTATGTATACTTATAAAAGGCAAAGCCCTCACTGACACACTCTCTCTCACTCACTCATCATCACTAATTCTCCCACTTCCCATTTACCTATGAGGCTGAAATTCGATACACCGATTCTTTGGGCATTAAATAGGAAAACTAAGTAGTTTTTATTATGATCGGGCATTCGGGCTCCGCCCCAGTGGCTCTGGAGTTTCCCATTTTACCTTATGATTTTTCATATTTAAAAGGAATTAATGAATCATAACAGCTGTGTCAATTTAACAATTTATGACAACAGCTAATTTGCAACCAAAAGCTGAGTGAGCGTTTCGAACGAACTTCAACCTGGAGGTGAGTTAACCCCAAGGCAAGTGAGCTCAGCGAACGAGCTCCAACCTAAAGGTGAGAGAGCGTAGCGAACGAACTTCAACCAGGACGTGATTGAGCCATGCGAACGAGCTAATCTTGAAAATTAATTAGTTTAACGGGGCAAAGCCAGCGGGTACAGCTTGTTATTCTATAGAATTATTAGGTTTTTAGCGAATTTCGCATATAGGGAATAAGCTATTACCGTATAACTCATGGGAACACCTGGACCCGGGACCGATGTAATTTTTCGTTTCGAGTCCCTAGAGGCCAAAAACACCATCCGTTCAAATTCATATATATGTAAGTGTATAAGACATTTTGGGGACTTGACTTTTTCGGGACTCGAGAATTTAGTACTTTTCGAGGACCTGTGCAATTTATTCCATTCCAAATGCAGCGCGTTATCGATCTTCACCCTTGTGTGGGCCTCCCATTCACTGACGGAATGTCTCGTGGCGTATGACGACCGGATATAAATAGTCACTTTAACACTCACTTATCTCGTTATTTTTTCAGCATATTCGTTGACCCGTCTGCAGGTCTGTTGATGGGCTGTCAGAGCGTCTGTTTTAATAACTGGAATGCGTTATGTATGTTTGCTGCTGATTACGGTGAAGTATTGTTAGAAATTCCACCTAATCTTTTTAAGTTACCCATTAAATTCATAGAAATAATAATATTTAACTGTTTGACGAGTACCCCTATTGTATTCAAAATACTCAACGGCCCAATCCAA